AGGTCAAGGCCAGCCTTAGGCTACATAGTGAGTTTGAGACATCCCTGGGCTACATAAAAACAAACAAACAAAAAAAAACTTTAAAATTGAAAACAAAAAAGACAAATGTGAAGTTGGGTTAAGAAACAGGTACCAGTTTTCACTGATAATCATTAAACATGACCATCTGTCTTGGAAGTACAGTCTATTCACAAAGCCCAAAGCTACCAGTGTCGGGAGACAATGAAGCAATTCACTCTCTTGTGCTTCTAAAGTCCCTTCTGCATATACTTTGCTACTTTTTCAAAACAATTCAAAATGTGGTTTCGCTTTTTCAAATTGTCATGTGATGTCTTCTGGTAGTTGCTTGTATACAATAATTGCTTTTTACTCTGGCAGAGATTAACATCACTAAATACTTTAAACAAAAAAACCCACAACACCTTGTTTCTAAATTTAAATAATGGATGTCCTCTAAACAACGAAAAGGAACCAGATGAGAACGGCAACCACATAATAGTGGCTAAAGACATTTCTGCTTTCCCTACATGCTTTCTGATCACATCACTGAGACCATCAACAGCAGAAACTTCCTTGAGTTAATAGGTGTGAAGCACTGTCTGAGAACAGTTTGGGGCCTTGGGGAAAGGATCATGCCCTGAGAGTTGGTCAGGGAAAACAGGAGCACTAATAACACGGGAATGACCATGCAGACATTTGGAAGGAGTGCAGCGTTCACCCAGGGAATGTCCAAAACGTCCCATGAAGATGAGCTGAGCCAGGACCTGGATAACCAGAGAGAAGGGGCTGTGGTGCTTAACGGGGACATGGCTTCTAAGGCAGGAGGATGACAAAGTCCTTGAGCAAAAGTATCTGGGCAATCATCAGTCAGACCATCTCCTACTCACACCCTCCTCCCCTGGCGCTGGGATTGAACCCAGTGCCTCGGGATTCACTGGCTCCCCCACTACATGGGCTCCATGCTGATCCTGCTGGGCGATCTGCTCTAACTTCACACCACCCAGTCATCTGATAAGGTAGAGTGCCCTCACTTGTTTGCACAACTCCCCCGTTCAGTTTCATCAGACACCCGCTGTTTGGTCCAGGCTGATTATCAGTTACTGGAGGACCCGGTGCAAATCATCCCCTTTACCCCGAGTTTCTCAAACTGGAAAATCTGGAATCTAGACTAAAAATGTGTAACTCTCCATTGTGACAAACCATTACCCATTTGTGTGAGTGACTATTCATTACACACATCCACATAGGTCAAGGATAAATAAAAGTTCCAGACTCACCAAGTCTCAGGGCCTTTGCACATACTGTCCCCTTTGCATGAGCGATTTCTCTCTGCCTAACCTTTCTCATGTTCCTGCTCTGGGAAGACCATCTGAAAACCTATACGACTCCTCTCAACCTCTATATATCAAAGGAAAAAAATCACAACAGTTTCTGTTTGCATCTAAACCATATTCCATTCCATAAATTTGATTTCTTTTTAAACAGTCTCCCAAGGTAAGTCCAATCATTTTTATTCTGTGTGTGTGTGTGTGTGTGTGTGTGTGTGTGTGTGTGTGTGTGTATGTTGGGAGTAGGGTGTGTATGTGTAGTATGTGTGTGTGTTAGGGGGTAGGGTGTGTGTATGTATTTGGGGGGGTAGGATGTGTGAGTGTGTATATGTTGGGGGTAGGGTGAGTGTGTGTGTGTGTGTGTGTGTGTGTGTGTGTGTGTGTGTGTGTGCACACTGCTGGTGTCAGCCCTCACCTCCCTGCACCATCCTTACCCTTATCAACCAACACTTAGAGGAAACTGGGAATCCCAAGGAAGCAGCAGCTTTAGGGCTCTAAGAATCTCTAGCCCAGCAGTTCCGGGCCCAACAGAAACAAAATGCTGGTTACATAAACTGACATCAGAGTGCTTTGAAAGAAATCTCTACAAGATGTTGCCTACAGCTCTGACAGAGAAGCCAGTCGCTTCAAGGCAGACAAATGAGAAGAAAGAGGCGGAGAGAAACAGTTGGGTTCAACTACCCTACTTGCCAAACTTTCTGAAAGCCAAATTTTCATAATTGCCTTCAATCCCTTTAGCAGTCTTTTGAATATATTCAGTTGGGGGGGAAAGGAGCTAAATAAAACTTTGACGCAAACTTGACTGTTGGTTATCACTAAAAATTGCCAAGAGCTAAGGCTCGTGAAAATTCAATGAAGAAAACTCTGTCTTGTTGGTATCTCTAAGCACCGCTGAGAGCTAAGGCTTAGAAGTGAATTAAACCAGACAATACCACTTCTGAGCGAAAATGCTGATTTTTCCCTGTTTTGTTTTGGTTTGGTTTGGGGGTTTTTGTTTTGTTTTGTTTTGGTTTTGTGGTTTTGATTTCTCAAGACAGGGTTTCTCTGTGTAGCTTTGGAGCCTGTTCTGGGACTCACTCTGCAGACTAGGCTGGCCTGGAACACTGAGGTCCGCCTACCTCTGCCTCTCCAGTGCTGGGATTAACGGCGTGCGCCACCACGGCCTGGCCGCTGATTTTTTTTCTCATAGCCCTTGTCTCTCTCATAATACAAACAACCACTGAGTAAAACACAGCTGTCACAGTGTGATTTTTCAGGATCTCAGATATTTTTGTGCTTGTCCCTACTTAAAATTCCAAGAGGATTAAATTCTGACTAAGTTCCTTTTACTCGGTTAGCCATTGTGGGTACCGTGTTCTTCATCATCCAAAGCCTTACATGCCCCGTGACTGCCTTGACACAAAGTACTAAAACGGTAAAGCTAGAAAACTGGTGAAGGACGTAAAATAACTGATTTTTTTTTCACCCCCTAGGCAGACCATGCTAAAATAATGTACTCGTGAAGAGGAAGGTCACCCATCCTCCAAGGCAAGCATGAGCTAATGATAAGAGGCTCTTGGGGTGCAGAGATGGCTCAGCATCTGCTGCTCTTGTACAGGACCCGGGTTCAGTTCTCAGCACCTCTATCAGGAGGCTCACAAGCACCTACAACTCCAGTTCCAGGGAACCCAATGCCCCCTGTCTTCCATGGACAGCTACGCACTTAGTGTACACGAACTCACACAGACACACACACACACACACAGACACACACACACAGACACACACACACACACACACACACACACACACACACACACATACAGACAACTAAAACATAAATGACTAAATCTTTAAAGAGCAAGAGAACCTAGGGTGGTTTCCAGCTGAGGCCTCTTTTATATACTCTCTGGGAGCTTTTGATATGCTTGGGTTTTATAGATGTTTCTCTTCCCCCACCAGGAACGCTAAAAAACTATTTCTTGGCCAACCTAGTCAATGTGTAGATATGAATTATATCTTGGGGGTGGGGATGGAGCAAGGTACAGAAACAACTGTAAAGACCTAGAAGCACTTGAATGAGATATGACTACAGATTCTATTCCAATGCCTGGATATTGATCATTGTACTGCGGCTATAAAAAAGTGTCCATGTGGGGAGACTAGAGAGAGGGCTCTGCTTTAAATCATTGCTGCTCGTCAGAGGACCCAGGTTTGATTCCCAGCACCCACATGCTGGTTCGCAGCCACCCTTGACTCCAGTTCCAGGGGATCTATCACCATCTTCTGACCTCCACATGCATGCATGTAAAACACTTATATAAATAAAGTAAAATAAATCTTTTAAAACAGACCTTAGTTTCCTAAGAAGAGAATTAATTTAGCATATTAAGGTAGTGTCAGCCCTTTAGACTTCTGACCTGGTATCTTGATGTTTCTCAATGAGTAATGAGGCAGAAGGTCAGGTATGAAAAAGAAGAAGATAACAAAAGTAAAAAATGGAAGAAGAGACAGAAGAAATGAAAGAAAAATACGAACGAGAAGTCGGTGTAATACTACTTTATTTCAGAAACAGAGAGATTCAAATGCCAACAGAAAATGAGTTTTCATGTAGTGATACAGTTGATTCTGAGAGCATAAAAAAAATCATATTGCGCTAACCACTATTATCCATGAAATATAAAAGTTTTCTACTCATCTGTGGTCTTGCTTCCTAAAGTTTGGCTACTTGGAATTAAACATGGTCCCAATTACTAAATGGAAATTTTCAGAACTAAACAATTTATTTGTTTATTTATTTTTAGTTTATGTGCCTCCGTGTTTGTCTGGGTGAGGGTGTCAAATCCCTTGGAACTGGAATTACAGAAAGCTGTGAGCCACCATGTGGGTGCTGGGAATTGAACCTGGGTCCTCTGGAAGAGCAGTCAGTGCTCTTAAGCCCTGAGCCATCTCTTCAGCCCCAAGAACTAAACAATTTATAAGTTTTAAATTTAGTGCCATTTTGAGTAGTGTGATAACATTTTAGGATATCTCACTCCATCCCACCTGGGACATGAACAACCCATCCTCTAATGTATCTTTACTGTATATTTCACAGATTAGCAACCAACTCGGGTATCAGATTAATTGTAGCACTACTACAATGTTTATATTCCAGTAGTAATTTTACTATTAAAAATTATGATTCTTCTGTTTGCTATTAAATATTAGTAATCTCTTCTAAATATAAGATTTACATCAAGCTTTATCAGAGATAAATATGTATAGGAGAAAAACTAAGGGATGGTTCTAGTTATGAATTCAGGCATACCCTTTCAGTGTTTGCTGTAACCCTGGGATAATGGGGGGTGGGTAATGACCTCTAGAGCAATAACTCTTCCGTGTGATACAAATGCTTCCAGTGGGTCTGCAGTAAAATGGATTATGTTCCCATGCCATACTTCCCATCATGCAGTGAAGTGCTGCAAGATACAAACTTTCAGAAAGGGACCGGAAGGCCTGAAGCGTTCATCTTGGTGGCTCTTATCGCTGTACTGCTAAGAGCTTCTAGGTTCCCAAGCCTAGTTAAGAGAACACCCCTCATATGACCCAGGACACCCTCTAGAACATAAAAGCTCCCCAAGGTACTCAACAGTCTGTGACATCACGACTAGAACTGATTGTTTTCATTCTCCTGTTAGGGAATGCCAGTGAAAGATTGAATCAAACATCTGGTGCTCATAGATAAGCCCGCTCTACCCTATTCTGGATTAACGGTTTTCCTCTTTCACCTACAATCCATTCAACCATGTATGACACACTGAGTGTCCACTCTGTGCAAAACCTCCAGAAATACAAAGATGGGTAAGCCATGATCCCTCATGTCCACAGCTCTCAGGAAGCTGAAAAGGAGACAAAAGTCTTCCTTTTTCATTGTCCCAAACTCTAACACCACGTATCACACTAGAAATAAAAACAAGCATGAGAATTTGGACTTTGGTTAGTCTCACACCATGGACACCAATCTAACTCAGTTCTGAAACCAACTGCCCAAGCTAATACATGCTCATGAGTAAAGGGTTCAGTCCTGTTTACTTCAGTTACAGAGCTTACAGAGAGGTCTCCAGGTTACTAGGAACTTCTCTGTTTGACTTAATTCCAAACCACAACTTCCCATAACCTTCAAGCTCAAGACTTTTCTAGAATTTACCAAGCAACCCTGTTACTACTGACATGGGCAAGGGCCAGAGGGGCATTAATCCCACGAGCTCCTGTCTCCATGGAGCTTGTGTGGTATGACACCATCCTCCTGGCACAGGAGTCACTCTGGAAGACTCTGAAGCCTTCCTATCAGATGTGTGCTCATGTCAAAACAGGGATGAAAATGAAGTTAAGCATCTAAAAAGATACAATCTGCATAAAAATAATTTTAGACTCCATACACAAATTGAAAATGTTATTTTAGAGCATCCAGTTAGAGGCAGACAGGAAAAAAGGAAGAAAAAAAAAACCTGTTCAGTGTGAATCTCTTTTTTTTCAATACAAGGAAAATTCCCAACAGTTGTAACTGAAAATAGTAAAATATCCTCTAAAGTAAAATTGTATCTGTACTACAGAGAGCAGTAATGGTCTCCTTTCTCTCTCTCTTTCTTTCTTTCTTTCTTTCTTTCTTTCTTTCTTTCTTTCTTTCTTTCTTTCTTCCTTCCTTCCTTCCTTCCTTCCTTCCTTCCTTTTTCCTCCTTTCTCTCCTTTCTTTCTTTTTTCTTTCTTTCCCCTAATTTCTCCTGGAGTAGCAAGATGGTTTCAAAAATAGATTTTGAAGAAACAGCCCTGCAATTTCTTGCAAAAATGAGCAACTTCTAGTATGGCACACCTTATGCAAGGTTTTTATCTTTCTTTGCCTTGGTTCCTCATTCTGAAATGAAACCAAATAAGCCTTATGTGTATAACTTAGCACTGTGGCCAGCACATAGTTAGTGTTCCAAATGTCACACCACTTTTATAACCGTGTGCCTGAGAACACTATACTAGGAAAACCTGCTCATAAAGTTGGCCACTGGCTAGTGCCTGGCAACTTGGACATTTCTAAAGCTGGTCGTAGTGGCTCACTGTGCCTCAACCAAACATGAGTATGATTTCTGCTAAACACTTCCTTTCCTTCTAGCGCCTGTAATTTTGGTATACACTAAGACAAACACCATGGGTACTGAATCTATAGTCATCTTCCCTCACAGACATGTTAATTATCACAAGTGCAGAGAGGACCATGCACATCCTTCATTATTTGTACCGGATCCTGGTACCTGGTGACTTTGATTCTGTTTTGTGTTCTTCCACTGTGATGACTTGTAGCTGACTGTGTTCTTCGCTAGTGTCTTAATTAGGCTTACTCTTACTGTGATGACCAAAAGTCAGTAGGGGAAGAACAGGCTTATTTGGCTTACATATCCACATTGTAGTTCATCATTGAAGGAAGGCAAGATAGGAGCTCAAACAGGGCAGGAACCTGGAGGCAGGAGCTGATGCAGAGGCCATGGAGAAGTGCTGCTTGCTTGCTTACTTCTTCATGACTTTCTCAGCCTGCCTTCTTATAGAACCCAGGACTACCAACCCAGGGGCGGCACCACCCACAATGGGCTGGGCCCTCCTCCATCAATCACTAATTAAGAAATGCCCTACAGGCTTGTCTTCAGCTTTATTTTATGGAGGCATTTTCTTAAGGGGTTCCCTCCTCTCAAATGACTTTAGCTTGTGTCAAGTTGACACAAAACTATCCAGCATGGTTAGGAAGTCCTCATTGTGATTCTAGGCATGGAGGTGGAGCAGGGGACTGCTGCGGAATATTTGTGTACACTGCATAGATGTGTCTCTGCCTAAGGAAGCTTCTGATTGGTTTAATAAAGACCTGAATGGCCAATAGCTAGGCAGGAGAGGACAGGCGGGACTTCCAGGGAGAGAGAGGAAGAGGAGGAGGAATACAGAGGTGTGAATTTCACCAGCAGACTTGGAGTAAGTTGGGTGTGGTGTACTGAGGAGAAGTAACCAAGCCACATGGAAGAACACAGATTTTAAAAATATGGATTAAGTTATAAGAGCTAGTTGGAAACAAGCCTAAAGAAGCTTTCACAATTAATAATAAATCTCCATGTCGTTATCTGGGGACTAGTGATCCAAAGACAGCCTGATAAGAAAGCTTGCTACAGGGGACCTGTCACGCTGTTCAACCCCCTTTGACTTTATAAACTACCCATAGCATCCATGCTGTGCTACACAGTAGTGAAGACAGCAAACCAGCCAAAGAGAACCACTGTTCAATCTAAAGCTCCCACTTTCTTAGCTAACAACTGTTGCAAAATTGACGTACGACTTGGTTTCCTTTACTCAACATCTCAACATTTTCTCTTGAACAAACTCCTGTCTTGCCCTTCCCTGGCTCCCATGCCCATGTCCCAGGGAGCCTCCCCAGGAATGCCAAGCGGCCTATGCCATCTACCATTTAGCTCCCTAAGTAGAAAGCAACATCACTTACAAACCTCCATGGTCTGTGTTATTGTAAGACTGTATAACATAAACTGTCATGATCTTTTGTTTCCCAGGTCACTGGAACATGCGCGGACATGAACGAATTAGCTGCCAAATGAGAGAAAAGGCAAACTGGAGAAATCAGCAGCCCAATGTACAAACTGAAACACTGGTTGCTCAACGTGAGACTTCCAGGAGATAGTTTAACTGGATTTCTGATGATCTCTATAAAACATAATTCCTCAGGACACTTTGAAAAGCACAATAAGTGAAATGAGCAGGACCCGCTTCAGGAAAAACTTTCGCCACCATGTTGTAGGAGTTGGATGCAGAGACAGAAGAAAGTGCGGCCACCACAAAGGATCCAATGGCCATGAGGGGACCGCGATGGGGCCTACAGAAGCAACAGACAGCCTCTTCACTGGCTTTTCAATAGTGATTCTAAGAACAGAGACAAAAAAGCAGAAGATTCATCCACCGCAAACAGGCACCGAACACATGCCCCCCAAACAGGGAAGTAACTCACTGTGAAGTGTTTCTGGATTTTCTAGAAAACGGGCTGAGAGGTGCCACCTGGAAGTCTTCCTAGTATTGTTAGTAGTTGTTTCAAGAATTCTGATTCTTTTCTTTAAATTCCAAATAATTCAACATAAGCAATTAGTTGTTTGTTTAGGGGTGGGGATCTAGTCAACGGCTTGGTATGTGGGGCCTGTAACAGCCAGGAAAGACATGGACTCTGAGTAAGGGTTAGAAAGGGATTTCTACATATGTTGGACAGGCACCTCCTTCTGCTCTGTCTGGTTCTCACAGTGACTGAAACCACTGCACGTTCAGAGAGTGGACTGGGATCTGACATAAGAAGGGCTGTCTTTTCATTCTGCTTAAACTGTCAGGGCACTTTTAACTTTGTACAGTTAGCCTTCCATATCTACAGGTTCTGATTCCTCAGAATCAATAAACTCTGGAAAATATTTGGAGGGAAAATTGCATCTGTCTGAACATATACAGACTTTTCTCATGTTGTTATTTCCTAAGGAATATAGAAAGAGTATTTTTATAGCATCAATATTGTATCTGGTATTATAAGCAACATATAGGTAATTTAAAACACATAAGAGGATGTTCAGAGGTTATGTGCAAATGCTGCACTATTTTATGTAATAGATTTGAGCATATGGTGAGAGGAACCAGTCCCTTCACAGACATCAAGGGCCACCTGTATACTAGACATCTTCAGAGTGAGCTGACCACTGTGCTGTACTTTCTCTTTCTGTGTATGGTTTTGCCTGTATGTATATCTGTGCACCTCATACAGGCCTGGCTCCTGCAGAAGCCAGAACAGGGCACCAGACTCCCTGGAGCTAGAGTAACAGCTGGCTGTGAGCATCCACGGATGCAGAGAATCAAACACAGGTTTTCTGAAGGAACTGTCAGTGCTCTTAACCGCTGAGCCATCTCTCTGCCCTCACTGTGTTGTGTTTTAATAGCATCAATCCGTATTTCTAAGTTGACAATGTAAGTTTCTGCAGGTTTGGGGTTAGTAATGTGCTACCTTTTACATCTCTCATGGATGTATTTCTAGTCTTCTTCTGGACTAACTATATTAAAGTAAAGTTACAGCAAATCATTGCCATACAGCAAAAACTTACTAATGTTTCCCAAAAACTCAACTTGCAATTTTAAAATAATCCTTATTTCTGGTAACAATTCTTACCTGAAACCCTACTGGGCTTCTGAACTTCTTGGACAACAAAGAAAATGTAGCATACATATCATAAAATATGACATTTCTCAATAGGACAAAGGTAGCCGATGTAACTAGTCACATTAATAGTTCTGGGCACACCTACATATGTGTTCAAAGGGAATAAAGAGTGAGCATGGTCTCACCACGGCTCTAGTTTTACAAGTAAGAGTTTTGAAGCTTTGGTATGCAGCATTTGGGGGGTTTAGAGTTAAGGGAATATGGTTCGACGGTGCATGAGCCTGAAGAACAGCACAGGTCATGGCGATACGCCATAGTAGAAATAACAGAGCTGAGATTGTTCAGGAAAAAAAAAAATGCCATTCTGTATAAATGAAAGGAACCAAAACACAGAATAAGAAAACGATAACAACAAAACAAGGAAATCAACATCTGAGAAAAAAACGCCCCAAGAATAGGCACAATTGAGCCCAAATACCAGGACCACCAGACATTCACCATGATCACATTTGCTATAGTATGCTGTCAAGAGAAATCCAGTTCCCAGCCATTCTCTACAACCCCAAATTATTTCTAGCAGAGAAGGCTATGGCAATAGTAGAAAATACCATGGCAAGATTTTAAATTGGGCCAGAGATGGCCACTCATTCACATTTCTTGTAGAAAGCTAGCAGCTGTCTAACCCAAATCCCTCCCTTCCTCACTGTACCTCAACATCCCACACAGGGGCTCCCTCGACCCCTGCTTCTTCAATCTCCCTGCTTCCAGCAAAGAACACTGTGGTAGACGCTTAGCATCAAGAGCTGAAGAATTCCTCTGCAATCCACTTCAATAAATGGTTCCCCAAATAACTCATCAGCTTCAAGTAATGAAGAAATGTTCACACAAAGCAGCTTAGGCTCTGACACATAATATGGTGGGGCTTGTGGGGGAGAGCCATGTGCTCAGTATACCTAATAAATTCTAGAAAGACCTATAACAAACAGAGATGTATTTTTCTCTGACAGATTAATTAGTTCAAAAGCCTGACACCAAACGGATAGCTATATAACTTAACCTATACTGACAGACTTGTGCCAAGTTCTATCACATGCTAAATTTCACCTTTCAAACCCAAATGCCAACAAACCGTAACCTGAAGTTCATTAACTCAATGGAGAGCATCACCTCCTCAATGGTATCAGCACTGAACACTGCACAGAAGATTGTCTCCTACCTCTGCTCGACCCTCATAGTAGGTTAACACAGATTTGGTGAGCACAAAAAGTCTCTCTTTGTAGTTTAACGGTGATGTCTTCTTTTTCTGCTGGGATCTCTTAATAAGAATCTCTTCTAGGATAGTGTTAAAATTCATCTCGGTCTTCTGGTTGCTCTTTCTCCTGCCATTGAAGATCCCAGGATTCTAAAGTAAGAAAATAAACAGTGAGACTATGGTGTTAATTTTCTAATGTTGTTGCACTTTTAATTACAACACCCTCCAGCTGGGATGGTATTAAATGTCCAGACTAGGGTGTCCAAGGCAAAAAGCTTGTCCTCTCTTAGCTCAGCCTCCATCCTGCCCAGCCATTTCCTAGGAAACACTAATTAAGATTTCCCATGATGGTGATGGTGATGATGATGATGATGATGATGATGATGATGATGCATGCCTTTGTCTCTCCCACTATCACTCAGCTCTCTAACACATTCTGCTGTTTGACTTCCGAGAATAAATAACTCAGACGGCAAAGTGCATTCCACTGCCTCTATTGTTGGTTTAGGCCTCAAGATCTTGGGATTCGAAACACACGACCACACAGCATAATTGATTTGAACAATGAATGAGCCCAGTAGTGGATACAATTCACATTCTAACTCAGGAAGGATGTCATCTTGATCTGGTATCAGAGTGGTGTCACAGGGAAGCTGTTGCTACAGGGATGTCCCTTGTTATCTATATTACCTTGCTCCATATATGGCTCCTATCCAGACCTCAAGAGAAAAGAGGCCCACTCCGTCAAGAGTTAACCCTTCTCAGGACTAGGTCCTACCTGGATAAAAAGATCCTCAGTCCTGTACCTAGAGCCTTAAATCTTAAACAAGAGCTGGCAAGATGGCTCCAAACCTGATGACCTGAGTTCAATCCCCAGAACCCCCCATGGTGGAAAGAGGAGAAACAACTCCTGTAATTTGTCTCCTGACCACCATAGTATGCAGAAAGAAGAGGAAGTTTGAGAAAGAAAGGGAGGGAGAAAAAGAAGGAAGGAAGGAAGGAAGGAAGGAAGGAAGGAAGGAAGGAAGGAAGGAAGGAAGGAAGGAAAAATTCAACCAAATTTAATTCTCAACCATTTGAGAACACAAAGGTCCTCAGAAGAGGCCTGCCATTCTTCCCTGAGGCAGGCTGGATGAAGGGCAGCTCTCCTTTCCTTGCTTCCTCCATGCCCTTTCAAGAAGTGATTGCATATCAACGCACAGAAATGAAGGAGTCTCTGGAAGCACATTCAAAGGCTACTTGATACTGTGGCCAGCGACAGATATTGAACTGCTAAGGAATTCTGCCACGCTTCCTTCCAACCTGATAACTTCAGTGCTCTACAGCAACTATTCTCTCTTACTCGATGACCATCAACCACTTGGGCTTTCAAGAGGGCTTCTTCAACAGTATAACCTCTAACCATCCACCCCTTCATTTAGAAGGTATGGTGGGGAAATACAAGATTAGTGAGGTTTAAATGAAATGTACATAATACACTTACTGTGCAAATGCTATACAAATATCTATTGTGGTTATTATGGTGGTTTGAACAGAAATGGCCCCCGCAGGTTCATAGAGAGTGGCACTATTAGGAAGCATGGCCTTGGTAAAGTAGATGTGGCACTGTTGGAAAAAGTGTGTCTCAGTTCACTTCCTGCTCTCTGCCAATCTGGATGTAGAACTCTCAGATCCTTCTCCAGCACCTTGTCTGCCTGCATGCTGCCATGCTTCCCATCATGGCGATAATGGACTAAACCTCTGAAACTGTAAGCCAGCCCCAATTAAATGTTTTTCCTTTATGAGAGTTGCTGTGGTCATGGTGTCTCTTTACAGCAATAAAACCTTAACTAAGACAGTTATATTTAACTCCACTGTCACTGCCCTAGCTCAGAGCATCCTAATCTCACAGCTGAACAATAGCAGCACCTTCCCAACTGGTCTTCCATTACCAACACTCTTGCCTCGTTTGATTCTAACTACATACCCCTTCTTCCTGGTGAATCAGCCTTCAAAGTTCCATCGGGTCATTTCATTCATCAGACATCCTTAGGGTCCCCCAACACCTGCAGGATAAAGCCAACACTTAGTCTGACTCTGAAGATGTTCACAATCCAGTTCCAATCTGACATTTTCCAATTTTCACTTCAACGCTTCCCCAGCCATTCTAAACACAGATCAAAACAGCAACCCCCCCACACACACAGTGTTCATTCCCTGGTCCACAGCACTCTCCCCACTCCTCTCTCTCTGTCTATGAGAACTCCATCAACTCAGAACTCGTCCCTTTGATACAACCCTTCCTTGTGTCTCTAGTTAATGGAAATCTTCCAGTGTCTGTATCCATCATCGCTCTCATTCATCATAAAGTTAATCATATTCTTCTACGTCTACAACAATGTATAAAGCTTAACTTCTCACCCAGCTATTAACCTACGAACGTGTACATTGGAATCACCAAAATCAATTTTTAATTCAGATACCTAGGTTCTGCTTCCATTTTTCTTTAATATTTTCTAGGTCTGGAGTGGGGCCTGGACATCATAATTCTATATGCAGGAAGAACTGGGAGCCACTATCTTGAAAGAAAAGCCGGAAGCCTTGTGCCTTTTTTTTTTTTCCTTAACGACTCTTGGTACTTATAGCAGCCTCTTGATAAACAAATACAACCTGGATCACAAGACTAGCCTATATAATAATACCCTGTCTCAAAAATAGATAGAGCTGGTAGAGATAGATGACACAGAAATAGATACAGATGAGATAAATAGATGAGAGAGCTACTCTATTTTGTTTTCCTGAGAAACTCTTGGTATGCAAATTCTACTTCTTTAGAAATCTTTTTATAAGAAATGTTCAGGAAAGGAAGAAAATGGCTACTTAGGAAAAGTTACCAGGGGAGAAACCAGTTAGGCTCTAAACACAAGCATACAGTGTGTGTGGTTCTGATCCATGGAGCAACTCGACTGTTATCAAACAGTACGCAGACTTTTGCAAGGCACTAGAGGACAGCTAGAATGCGTTCTAGAAGCAAAAGGTCCCAACACCAGAAATAAGAAAAATGTCTCTTTAATGACTTCAGGGTGAGGGGGGAATCACCTTACCTGATTTATTGGGAAACAGAACTTATTGGGATACAGAATCATACCATGTAAGCTAAAAGGAATCTTACCCATCATCCCCTTCACCTCACAAATTAAAAAGCTAAGGTTCAATTAGGCATCTTGCCCAAAGTAACACAGACCAAGACCAGAAAATGAAAAAAAAAATCTCTCTTGGTTCCAAATGAAGGACTCTTCCCACCATTCCACAACACACAAATTCACTGCCTTGTAATAATTCATATGTCAATGGAAAATTCTGGCCAACAAAAGCCATTGTTCTTTGTAGGGTATAAAGGAAGCATATTTCTCCTCATGGAAATGTCCAGCTAAAGATGGAGGGCTGAATACACCCACTTCCTTCCTGGAAGTCCATCAAAAAAAAGTCATTTTTATTTGCTTGTTGTTTTTAAGAAATTAACACTCTGAGGGACTAAAAAGTTAGCTTAGCAGTTAAGAGCTTGTACTATTCTCAAAGATGACCCAGAATTGGTTCCCAGGCACCTATTTTGTGGTTCCAGGGAATCCAATGCCCTCTTCTGGTCTCCACAGTCACCTGCACTCACATGCACATACCCCCACACACACACATACATAAGCACATAATTTAAGAAATAATAACAATAAGTTTAGAAATAAATAAAAAAAACTTAAAAAGAAATTAACACTCAAAAGTAGAAAACAGAAAAAGATATTTTTAAAAATTCTAGAAAGTAGAAGACAAGTACATGCTAGGTCTCACAGAGGGAGGAACAGACAGGCACTTGGAAACAAATCATTTTATACCATAAAACCTCTATATAGTATAAAAATTGAGTCACCAAATTCAGGAGCCCTAGAAGTGGTGGTAAAGAAGAACTTGAAGCATGTGTGTGTGTGTGTGTGTGTGTGTGTGTGTGTGTGTGTGTGTGTGTGTGAATGTATGCATATATGGATACGTGCTATGGGATGTCTTTCTGTATGCTATGAATATGTGTTGCTCCCATTGGTTAATAAATAAAGCTGCATCGGCCTACGGCAGGGCAGGATGGAACCAGGAGGAAAATCAGAGAGAGAGAGAGAGAGAGAGAGAGAGAGAGAGAGAGAGAGAGAGAGAAGGTGGGGTCAGGAAGATGCTGCAAGTGGAGAAGCAAGATGTAAGAGAACAGGTAATGTCATGAAGCCACATGGCAAAACATAGATTAATAGGAATGGGCTGAGTTAAGAGCTAGTTGGTAATGAGCCTGAGCCACAGACCAAACAGTTTGTAATTAATATAAGCCTCTATGTGTTTATTTGGGACTGAAAGGCTGTGGGACCGGGTGGGACAGAAACTTCTGGCTATAGATATGGGTACATATAGAGGCCAGAGATTAACACCTGTTATCTTTCTCAGTCGAAATAGTGTCTCTCCTTGGACCTGGAACTCGCTGACGCACTAACTTGGCTAGCCAACAAGCTTCGGAGATCTGCCTGTCTCTGTCTCCCCAACACTGGATTACAGGCGTGCACTGCTGTACTTTTTATGTGGACTTTGGTAAATGGAGCTCAGGCCATGATACTTTCATGGCAAGGACTTTACCAAGTGAGCCATTTTCCAAACTCTCTAAAGGAAGGAACTAGTTTTTCAGGGGAAGCGGGTGAGACAGGGTCTCACTGTGCACCTCTGGTTGGCCTGAAACTCTCTATGTAAGTCATGCGGACCTCACACTCACAAGGCATGCGCCACCATGCCCAACCCCAGGGGAACTTTTTACCGGTCTGGTAAGACATAGAATATATTCCCTCTTCTGTGTAGGTCTAGAAGGCAGCCATTCTCAATTCTCGGAAAAACTAAAGTTTGGGAGATTTTTTTGAGTTCGTTTTTGTTCTTGTTCTTGTTTTCATGAAACTTAAGATAGAAGATCTATCCCAAGAGGAATGAAGAGCTGAGACAGGGGTATCATACTGCAGTGGGAACTAATGTCAAAGGGTCTACGCACATACATGAGAATTTGGACCACTCCGCTCTTTCATGCCATGTGGTCCAGAACATTGGATACAAATCAGACCCAACCAGCACTACTGAAACCAGGGACAGGCGTGTTCCTCCCAAAAACACCACAAACACATCACCTTATAGTTAGGCCCAATGCCAACAAGGCCCAACCCCAAACACAAAATTAAAGAAGGTTTAGGATCACCAAAGAAGTCCAGAAACTTACTATCAAACATGTATGCCACAAGGTTGGGACACAGCCAAAATAAGCAATAAAGTACCCGGGGGAGGGTGGTCGGCACTGGAAATCAAGAAGGTAGAAATGAAAAACTCGGGAGACTTAAAACATAAGCTGAGAAAATCTCCCAGGAAATAAAACAGAAAGCCAAATAGACAATGAATTGGGAAGAAAATACAATAGCGTTAGAGGGCTCACTCGGAGACCCAGAGTGTGAAACTCAGGACTTCTAGAACAAACAATGGGAAGAGAAAAAAAAATTAGAGAAGTTTTGCCAAAATAAAGATTATATCCAGATAAAATATAACCAAGTCAAGCCACATCTTATAAAATACCAAAATTAGGGGAATAAACAGAAGATTCAAAAAGCTTAAAAGCAGGTAATAATAAAAAGATCAAAATTCAGAACGGCGATCACCACAAGCAATACCGACAGCTCAGAAACAGAGGGTTTAGAAGAAACTAAAAATGAGAAAATGGAGGAAGCACCATCAGAAGACAATAGATTCCTAACTCAAATTCTACACTCCGCAGAATATCAATACCGGTAGAGGATCATAAATGATGAAACATTCATAGGATCATAAACCCAGCATTCATATATGCAAGGTTCTGAACTGCTTGCCTCCTCTTCACTCTTCTGGAAAACTACCTGATGAGGTAGGTGTTCTACCCAAATAAGGCAATAAACACACAGAGAGTTCTGGAAGCAAGGATTCTAACACAAGAAAAAGGCAAGAAGACCTCCCAGTCTCCCATCACAGTGAAGAGAAATTCCAAGATGGATGACAGCGAGCAGCAAGTGAAGAGATCCTGTCCAAAGGGCCAAATCAGAAGGTTCCTGGGAAGAATTCTTCTAGAAGATGAAACTGAATGCATGGGGAAGTTCATAAGAAGTTAGCTACACATATCAATGTAAGAAATAAAGCTAATTCATTCCAGGGAAACTTTCAAAAACCATACAGAAAAGGCATTCAAAAACAACCAGAGTACATCCTGAGCCGGGCTGTACAAATAATATCCATAGCATTACAATAATGTAAATAATAAGCAATAATCTTGTTACTGTTATAGATGTTTTGGGAGGGCAGGAAGTGTGTTTCCGTGTGGGTGAGGGAGGAGGTTGTGCAAGCGAGCCGCACTTTCTTCGGTAGTGACAGAGACGGAAGAGGAAGTAGAGTAGAGCGTAAACTTGAAATATCGAGTAACTCGAGATGCTATCAAGAGATAAAATTATACAGATTGATTTGGCTTTTCTGTGAAACTGTCGAGTGCGGCAAACTCTGTTCTGTAAAACAGGATGAGAGCTCCCTCGGGAAACGGCAGAACGATGGGCTTAGGACAGAGGGGCACAGAAGCCGACCAGATTTAAAACTATGACTACTGAACTCTCACTCATTCTAGGTAATTTTTTAAATAAGATTTAAAGCAAAGAAGGCACTTTCTCAGCTAGACTAGAATCTTCCTCTTCAAGGAAAACTAGCCTGCTTAAAGACCTGCATGCTTGCTTAAAGTCTTTGGGCTGATTACGTGGCACCATAGTATAAGTGACTCCATTTTGATTTTCTTAGTCTGGTCTGTTGGAGCCTAGAACAGAGAAGCCCAACTCCAAACAATGGCTTCCCATGGTTTTTGTTTTAAAAGATGTACCGTTCCTAAAAGGTTTGACAAAATGAACATTATCCTCTCTGAGAGTCAGAAAACTTGAGAAGAGAGCGAGTAACAGATGTGTGTTTCTCTTCTCCAGAGGCACATCATCTCGCTGCCGAT